GTTTGTAACTAACAGTTGTTCTTTGCTGGATAAAATTGAAGATTTTGGTGTGTTTGTAAGTAACAGTTCTTTGCTGGTTAAAATTTCAAGGTTTTTTTTTCATTCCCTTGACAGATAGATGACTTTGAAGATTCTAACTCTGATGATATTTCTGTACAATCTGATGATGGTGATGATGATGATGTTATTTGTCTAGAAAACCCTGAACCAGGCACTAGTTCCAACAAGTGAGTCTCTGACTGTCCTCTTTTAATAAAAATTAAACACAAGTGATGAACGTAACAGACTTCTTACTGCTGAACTGTATCCTTAAATATGTATGAAATTACTGTTACAGGAAGGATGATGACAGCAGTGAAGAAGAGGTTATCAAGAAGTGGAAGACTTCTAGACTAAGTAGGTAGCATCTTCTAGACTATAGATATTTAAACTTATTAAATGTCATTGTTTAAGACCTGGAAAGTTATAACACAACAAACCCAAACATACCTAATAGTGTAGATAAAAATCATATAAACTCCAGATATTTTTTTAACAAGTTGCTCATAGTTTGTCTCTTACAGATTTTCAATCAGAGATGTATAAAAATAGCATTTGGATCTATCTTTTATCTGCCACAAGTCAATATACATGAGGCCTTTTCTTCAATACTAGAATTCCTCATTTAGGCTGGATGATAAAACAAGTTTTTGTGAAAAGCTACTTATATATAAAGTATAATACTTATGAAGTTACAGCTAAAATGCCTAAACCTTGTGAAGCATTAGAAATTTATATATAAACTTCAGATGGACGAATTAAAACTACTTAAAACAAAAATCAGTTTATGTGTTGGTTTTTAATGCTTTGCCATCTTTTTTTGTCTAGAATGTAATGTTTATGTCTATTAGTGTATGGATAACACAAATGGATTAACCTTTTCACGATGAGTAGGTCTAACTGAGTATGTCACGGTCTTTTAGAGAGTTATTTTCAAAATTTATTTAAATAATTTTTTGTTTGTTATAATAATTAGAATAGCAAGAAATCGTAGCTAATAATCCATATTTTAATACAATATAAGTTTTTTTAATGTTCATAATTTTATAAGGCAATGTTAAAAAAAATCCTGAATTTCCCCTAGTGTGAGAAATGTGATATTTTTTATCTTGGCATCCCCTTTTCTCTAATTTATTCACCACCCCTCCAATAAGTATGAAATATAACATAAATTATTCACTATAAAATTGTCATTGCTCAGACAAACCATAATTTTCATAGCTTTTAATCTTGTTTGGTTACAGAGTCATCAAATAGAAAATCAGACCTCTCTTGCCACACCCATCACATCCAGATTAACAAGTGACAAATATATTGTTAAAGATAAAATAGTGATGTTGAACCTCTACACATTTTACCAAATGACAAATATATTGTTAAAGATAAAATAGTAATGTTGAACCTCTACACATTTTACCAAATGACAAATATATTGTTAAAGATAAAATAGTGATGTTGAACCTCCACACATTTTACCAAATGACAAATATATTGTTAAAGATAAAATAATAATGTTGAACCTCTACACATTTTACCAAGTGACAAATATATTGTTAAAGATAAAATAATAATGTTGAACCTCTACACATTTTACCAAATTAACAAGTGACAAATATATTGTTAAAGATAAAATAATAATGTTGAACCTCTACACATTTTACCAAATGACAAATATATTGTTAAAGATAAAATAATAATATTGAAGTTATTCACATTGTACAGAATTAACCACTGACTAAAATATAGTTAAACTCATTAAGTAGATGAAAAGATAATAGTGGAACCAGTTAGTGAAGTTAAACTGTGTTACACTGTAGACAGTAGTGGATGGGAAGATAACAGAGGAACCAGTAACTGAGGCTAACTGATTACACTAGACAGTAGTGGATGGGAAAATAAAACTTGAACCAGTTAGTGAGGTTAAACTGTATTACAATGTAGACAGTAGTAGATAATAAAATAAAACTTGAACCAGTTAGTGAGGTTAAACTGTATTACAATGTAGACAGTAATATATAATAAAACAAAACTTGAACCAGTTAGTGAGGTTAAACTGTATTACACTGTAGACAGTAGTAGATAATAAAATAAAACTTGAACCAGTTAGTGAGGTTAAACTGTATTACAATGTAGACAGTAATATATAATAAAACAAAACTTGAACCAGTTAGTGAGGTTAAACTGTATTACACTGTAGACAGTAGTAGATAATAAAATAATATCAGAATAATTAAGTGCAGTTAAACTGATATGTTATAACAGTGGCAGTTGGAAAGATAAAATCATAATTCAATGATACATTTTCTTAATTTTTGTTTTTATGTTTTACAGAAGTTAACGTTTATTTCTTGAGTCTAACTGAAGAGAGAAAAACTAGAACAAAATGAAAGGTTTGATAATGACATGAAAATTTGTTTGTTTAAAGCATACAAGAGCCAAAAGAAAGTTTTAGCTGATTGGTTTTTTGTTTGTGACTTTCCGAGTGTAGCTGGAGAAAAGAATGAAGAACCAGATAACACAAACAGAGATGATGAGAAGGAATGGTGGTCAGATATCCTTCCAGAAGAGGAATCTAAAAAAATAGAGCTCAGTGGCAAGCTGGTCCTTCTTTTTGAAATTCTTAACAGATGTGAAGAGATAGGAGATAAAGTGTAAGCCATATTTCATAGTTGACCAAAATTAATTGATCCACAGAAATGTGAAGTAAGATGTATTCAACTTTTTTGTTATGCCTAATTTTACCTGACTAACTAACTAACTAACTAAAGAAGAATATTCTGGTAAAACTGCTGCTTTTTACAGGACATCACTTTCTCATTTGTCACACAAATTTCAGTTTTAAAGATCCGGTGCTACTCTGAGTGGTAAGTTGTTTGTTTTTGTCTAACCCTCATTGTGATGTGTAGAAGGCAAACAACCTGTATAACCAGTATTTGTTTTGTAATTAAAACAATCTTTACAGTTTCTTGCAATTTTTTTTTCAGTCTGCATTTTATTTAATATGTGCTTTATGTTTGGGCAGTGTGTGTTCCATCTGTCTTACCCTGGACTTTATTCTGATTTTTTTGAGTGTTTGAACGTATCCTGTCAAGATCGTTTCTACCTAGATTATGCCATATATACTGGGGAACAACCTAACTGTATCATGTCTGTCTGTCTTTCTCTTCTAGTTTATTATTTAGTCAGAGTCTACTGTTGTTGGACTTAGGGGGAACAACCTAGCTGTATCATGTCTGTTTGTCTTTCTCTTCTAGTTTATTATTTAGTCAGAGTCTACTGTTGTTGGACTTAGTAGAAGATATGTTAGAGATGAAAAACCTGGAGAACAGCACGATTTCTGACCCTGAACAGAAGGGCTACTATGGAACGTGGCTGCACGGTTTGGATTATTTCCGAATGGATGGGTCGACCAGTGCTGATAGCAGGAGAAGATGGATAGAACATTTTAATGATGAAGAAAATTGCAGGTTTGTAAACATAAGCCTTTTTTTATATTTTAAAAATTGAAGTAATTATGAACCATGAAATATATTTAGTACAGTTACACATTAAACACAGAGGGCTGGCCAAGCAAGTAGGCCTACAATTTGTGATAAAAATCATACAAACTGGAGATGTGTTTTATTCCCATATTTATTGTTTATTTCAGGTTTGAAATTCCATTTTTACAACAGTTAACTGTAGGAAATATAAATCTAGGCTGTTTATGAGAAAGAAATGTTTAAACTGCATTTAATAACAGGTTCAAGACCAGTATTAAACAGTTGAAACAATGAAGCTAGTGGTGTGAATATTATGTGAACAATGTAGAAACTTTAATATAGCATCTACTCTGTTTACAGTAGTTATAATATCTGTGATATGTATGGTATTGTTATAGACTGCATATCGTAGTCACGTGATGACGTTAGGATCATGCAAATAATCTACTTAAATCGGGGTATGAACAGGTCATGAAAATCATTGGAACTTTAAACAGTTATTTTGATACTGGAAATTTTGTAAAATTAGTGGTTTTTATCAGGAGTCCTGGTAAAGTCCTTAAGTTTAATCTTATATCTGCCACATCCCATTTTTACCATTAACAAGCCGTAATGTTGTTTGTCTCAGTTTCTAGAAAAATGACCTATGGAAAATGTGAGTTATAAAATGGGAAATACACTGACTTGGCAACAGTGATCAGTAGAAGGCTTTGAACTGTGTACCTGTATCAATATGGTGTTACATGACCATTGTTGTAAAGATACTGTTAGTGGATGTTTCCTTAATAAACAATGTTTCTAGGCTTCATCAGTTGTTGTCTAGAGTTTACTAATAAAAAGAAAGACAGTGAGAACAGTATGGTAGAATATGTATTGTAAACTGAACCATCGTACATGAAGATAGCCCATCAGCTTATAAGTATAGCTACCTGTTACGTACACAGAGATTGGTCTAAGCTGGAATATTTTAAGTATGACAGAATATGTATTGTAAACTAAACCATCGTACATGAAGATAGCCTATCAGCTTATAAGTATAGCTACCTGTTACGTACACAGAGATTGGTCTAAGCTGGAATATTTTAAGTATGACATTTTTGGCCCTGTTACTAAATATTTGAAGACAATCTTCTACTTTTAAGAGGCATTTAGGAATAAATACAGTATTGTGACACGTTATTAATATTATGAAGTCTTAATGTGTTCTTATCAGTTGGTTTCTTTCAGGCCTAAAATGAATGAAAATCTTTAAAAAAAGAAGGTTAATACCATGTGATGGCTGATACCCAGGACAAGAAATAGAATTATTTATAACAGTTATTGTTTTAGATATGGTTTAGATGTTGACAAGAGTTATCTGCAATAAAACTTGCAGGCTGAACACCATGTTGAAATATAAAGGTTTTACTGAACCACAAGATTTCTGGTTTGTTTGTTGGAAATGTTTACAAATAATGTCTGAGAACAAAGGAGAGTTATCTTAGTAACAATACGTGTGTGAATATTTACCTTATTAGCTAACGTGTGCAAGATGTCCTATTGGTCAGTTGAAATAATATGTTCACTATTGGTTTGTATGGTTACATTTGATGAAAGTTCAACAGTCAGTCAGGTACAAGATAACTTGTCCTATTGACAAGTTGAAATATTATGTTCAATAAATATTATTTGGTTTGGTTACAAGCTAGAATAATATTTAGATTCAACCAAAGCACTGTAACTAATAAAGATTTTATTTGTACCATGTTATGTCTTTTAGATTTTCTTTAAATGGCTTGTTTCATATTTTTATTTTTTTAATAAGTGTTTTGTCAGTAGCTCAGGTGTAAGTCAGAGTATGCCTGGGAGGTAAAAATTCAATCTAGTATGAATGGATACCAATGCTTAGGGTAATTGGCTGCTAGAACACCCAAGAAATGTGTACTGTGCACAAAAAAGTATGGGGGGAATTAACATTTTTTGTATACATGCATTTCACTGTATGTACTATTGCTAGAACATTTTTTTACAACTGGTAATGTATTTTTTGTAGAATATAATAGAACCTTAGTTATGTAAATTTGGTGGAGTGCATGTTGTGTCAAAATCAGTAAATTAGGTCCTTGAAAATCCTGGATTTTTTGTCCACTTAGCATGTGCAAACCATGTTAAATAGTAAATGTTTTTGTATGGTGCGAATATACCACACCTGGTGGTGTTATAGAATATCACAGTAATATCTCTTAGCTACACCTGATGGAGTTATAGAATATCACAGTAATATCTCTTAGCTACACCTGATGGTGTTATAGAATATATTAGTAATATCATTTAGCTACACCTGATGGTGTTATAGAA